CTACCCACCTATAATGGGCTTAGATTCGATTGTGGATGCCCTAAAGATTAAGGACCAAAAGACCCTTGAAAGTAATGGCCCCATACCCTTATACTATGAATCCCTAATATGGTATATACTCAACCCTAAACCCTAAACCCTAAGCGCTATGTGTGTCGGGCGTGGAACCCCTGGGATTTGAGGCATCGGAAGCCTTAGAGCCAGTCGAAGGAAGTCGCGGCTGGACCGGCCTGCTATAGATGCCTAAAGACTTGCTTCTGTCAGTCTAGGGCCTAATTAGGGGTTCTTTATGATATGGTTCTTTATGATAGCTACAGTATAATATACCCCTCAAAACCCCATATGTCTATTTCTTAAGGTCCCTTACATTACCGCCTTGCCTTCATGCAAACATCGTAAAGTTCCGAAGTTGTTGCAGGGTTTTAAGTCCAGGGCACCGTCGGTAGGATTCATGGTCCCGGAAAGACTGAACGCCTCAGCCCATAGCGGTTTAGGGTTCTAGGTTCCTGAGTGGTACCCTTTTGCCCTTTTTCTTTTTCGGCTCCCTGATTAAAACCGAATAGTAGGAAAAAGGGCACCCTTACTGTTAAGGGGCTACTCAGGAACCGAGGGTTTAGGGTTTAGGGTTTAGTGCAGCGGCATTTTCCGGGCGACCCTCGCCACCGCAAGTCTGGAAGATTTACTTTCAGTGTGGGCCTTCGACGCCGTTTCCTCGACGGTGTAGGGCTCGGAGAAAATATCGTAAAGAGGCTGAATATTAATTAATTAGAGAGCATATCACCTTGTAGTTCCTGCGTATTGATGCCATAATGGATGATCAACCCCCGAAACCTAGCTTAACTATTAAAGTTCGTAGATGTTCGTATGTTGGTGTAGCGCACCCCCCAGGTCTCCCTGTCTTCCAGGCGGAACTGAGATGAAGTCTCTTCTTCTGCTGACCGTGTTCGGCAGTGCCTACGGCTTCTGGGCAGCCCAGGTAGTCTTCGTGGTTCAGACAAGGGTCTGGAGTGCAGGATCTGGCCGGTAGTGGCCACAACAGTCTATGCTTGTGCAGACTTTGTTGCTCTAGCAGCTTGTTTCTGACAAGATATGAGATCCTCCCAACGTGGCACTCGAAGCCTTCCTCTTCCAAACCCGTTCATTGAAATCCGATCACTGGGCAGCATTGCCTGCCTTGCCTGAACTCCGACGCACTACACCCCGACCCCCCAAAGCCCGACCTCCTATACCTCCCCCGGGCCATTCAAGCCATTGATCCGGGAAGATCTTGCACGTCCCAGGTCTCCTGAGCTTTTTCCTCATTGTCGCCCTCTGCGTCGGGGGCTGCTTGAACCTAGGCATGTTCAGTGATTCGGGGCTCTTTACTACAATCAGGTCTTGTCAGTACGAATACTGGGCAACACCCCGCATTCCATGGAATCACTCTCATACTATCAACACTGAGCCGTTGATGAAGAACCCGCAAAGCGTTGTAACTGTGGGCAGAAGCAAATCCATTCTACTCGAGTGACTCGCCCTGTTGTCGACATTGAGGTCTTGAGGATCTTGATCTTAGCTATTAGGGTTTAGGGGGCATATACCCAGCCTAGCACTAATGCGCGAGGCCCTCCTACCCTGAAGCTGTAGTAGTAGAGTTGAGTACGAGCCTCAAGCCCTATAAACATTACTTAAAGCCTCTACCCTACGTCCCAAACCCGGTTACCCTAAACCCTAAACCCTAAACCCTAAACCCTAAACCCTAAACCCTAAACCCTAAAACCTAAACCGGTTTAGCGTTCCCCAGCCCAGTTCCCAAGGAGACAGCAGGACGGGGAGCGAACTGCACCCGACAGGCGCCCCGGCTGCATTGCAAAGCGCCTTATCTAAGCCATCGACCCAGAGACTCCAAAACCCTTTAATTAAGGAATATACCTTAAATCATAGTAGGGATCCTTAATTAAGGAATATACCCTTAAATTATCATAGGATCCCTACTATGACTTAAGGTCTATTCCTTAATTCAGGGGTGTTGGAGTCTCTGGGAAGCCCTAATAAGGCTCGTGATCCTGAGCCCCAAATCGCCGAGCCTCAAAGCCACAAACCCGAAGCCCTAAACCAGAAAGCCTAAACCCCAAACCGTGGGTGGACAGAGGCGAAAAGAGAATAGATTAAAAAGGACAGAAACCAGCAACAAAGGCAACCATCCTCAGCCCATCCAGACTCACCAGTTGGTGATGCAAAGAGGGCTTAGGGGTTTAGGGTTTGGGGTTTGGAATGTTCCCGTGTTTGCGTATCTGAAGATCTGCGATTTGCGGTGTCGCAGAAGCTTCCGAGAGTCTCCAGCTTCCAGGGATATTGGAGTTTCGGGTTTGGGGTTTAGGGTTTAGGAGTTTAGGGTTTAGGAGTTTAGGGTTTAGGGTTTAGGGGTTTAGGGTTTAGGGAAAAGGGGGTTGAGACTTACCGACAAACCCTGCCTGGCTTGCTGCCTGCACAGGTGCCTCTTTCGCAGCCGCTGCGTCTTTCTTTGGGGGCCTAAATAATTACCTACTATAC